AAGAAAAAAAAAAAGTCTTCCAGTTTCCTAATGGGAAATTTGTATTGAAAGAAACATATTTTGCAGTCCAGAAAGACAGCAGGAAACATACTAGGTTTTCAAACTACGATAGAAGTATTCAAGAGTCTGAGGCCATTTTTTAGGTTGTGCAACAGATGGACTACAAGAAAAAGTCTCATGAACACTAAAACAAAGAAAGAAAAAAAATCACAGAAGAAAGTAGGCTCTAACTATCATTTAAGGTAAAAAAGTATATTGACAAAACAGATTTACCGATAATGTAATCATAACCTTTTTCTTCCATGAAAGAACAGGCTAATCAACCTACTTTCACAATGCCTACTCCAAAAAATAAGACCAGGACAGAAGGCCCTACTATTATTATAATACTAAAACTTTGCCCATTCTCTTATCATGGTTACTCTTACAACTTCATCCCCACTATAATGCAACGTTTCTCTTCTACGTAAAACAAGATGCAATTAACCCTTCCAGTATCTAACTCATCCTATCTGTTGTGGCTTTACTGTTCTTCATTACTTTATGGTCAACCTATTCATCCTTCCTTTTAAAGTTCTATATCACCTCCTTTTCAAGTTTCTCTTGCCTGGTCATTGCTGTCTCTATTGTTAATTGACTGTTATTTTAGAAAACATCTCTATACTTATTTCAGCTTGGCAAAACCTCCTTCCTCTCCTGTTCCAAGTTATCACGTTTTCCTCATTATCAGCTTTGAAGTTGTGACTAAAGCCCAGCTAGTCTATCAGTGCAAGGTAATTCAATATCCTGGTGTCCAGACTGGAATAACAAAAACTAGCAGTACTCCATGGAGTAACCTTCTTTCATTTAGCAACTCTTAGCAATCATAAAGCCATTGCAGAGTCTAGTTCTCTCCCTCAGGGTTCAATTCACATGTTTTAAAAAAAAAAAAANAAAAAAAAAAAAAAAAAAAAAAAAAAAAAAAAAAACTAAAAAAAAACCACTATCTTTGTGGAAAAACAAGTAGGTTAAGAACAAAGGAAGATAAATGAACTTTCTCTTTTTTTTCTTGTTTTTGTTGCTTTTTTTCTTTTTTTTTTCCCTTGAGTTAGCAAGAATTTGTTGTCTACAGAGCTTTTAGGGACTTTGACTCACAAGACTGACAAGTCAGTGACAGCCAGTCTTTGTAGTAAGCTTTTAGATGTGTGAATGTTCATTACTCCATAAGAGACTAGAGGTTCATGCTTCTCAGTTATTTCAAACTGACCAGGGACTATAGATTATGTGGATAATACCTCACTGAATCCATATCCCACTGAATCTCTGATCGAATTGGATCAAGTGGATTGAGATGAAATGGATGTTTCAGCAGGTCTAGGTAGGGAAATTGTATGGCAGGTATAGGTTAGTAGAGACCAAATATGCTTATTGAGGGATTACACTTAGTAATCTGCTCTGGTAAGCAATTACCCTTAAAGAATAATACCTCCTCTTCTTCTTTACCCCTACATTAAGTTTTGACTAATTGCTTCATCTTAGGCTACTAACTGCTCCTTCTGTCATCAAAAGACACCAGAAAAGATCACCAAGGCAGCAGCTAAGGCTCTCAAATACAGTTGGAAAAGTCTGTATTCAAGTCCAGACTTCCCTTTTGTTCTGAAGTCTGTTTTGCACATCCCATTATATGGATATTTTGAAGGTAGTTAAGAAGATGTTAAAGAATTAAAAGGCTCTCAGACACTATGATGGAAGACTGCATCTACTTTTGTCTGGAGTGACTGACATAGCATCAGGAATATGTTCTGTTACCTGTTAGACTCGCCTATCTCCCATACTGAATAAAAACTGTAGAAATTAATAGAATGTCTACTTGTTAGTAGAATGCTTGGGGGTGAGCGGAGTATCTTTGCATTTAGCAGAGGATTGAAACTTTAAGAACTGAGTCCTGATAATTAAGATACTCAGTCTTGAAATTAAAATTAAAATTAAAATTAAAATTAAAATTAAAATTAAAATTAACTCTACTTTCTCCAAAACCAAACTTAAAATATCCTCAGATTTGGAGGACATGGGCAACTTTCCGGCTGATTTAATTTACCTGTTGAAGAATTCAGAAACTCTTTATGAGTGGTTTCGGCTTTTTTTTCTGTAAGAAAAATGTTATTTCCACGTGTATTCATGTTTATAAAGTATGTAAGAATAAGAATCAATTTTAATAATAAAAAATTGAATATATTATTACCGTCATGACAAGAGTCCTTTCTGAAATGGTCTATTGAGGAGAAGAAATATATAACACAACAATTATCATGAAACATGGCAGGCATTATCATACTAAATTGTTTTTAAGAAAAGGAGAGAAAAGAATGTGGATGAGTCAGATGGAAGTAAAAGAAAGTAAGATAAGATCAATACACATCCTGCATTAAGGAATTACTGGCCAAATGGAAGAAACAGGAATGTATGTAGTGATAAATCATTTGTTTTCACTGCCTTAATTTCAATGGATTTGAAATAAAGTCTGAAATGGTATAAGGACTCTTATAACACGTAATTTCAAAATATTAGCTTAAACTAGCACATTCAGCTCCACCACCAGGTTCACGTCTAAATATTTGTCTTACCCCATGGCTGGGGTTGACCTCTTGCTCAGTTAAAGTAACTGATCCCTTTCAAAAGCCTTTTTTTTTTTTTTTTTCTTCCCCATAAAGGAAAAAAGGAAATAGTTTAAAGCTGAGCTACAGGAAGATTTAAACTTGACTTCTTTGAGACTGACAGTTTCTCATAGCTAAGAGATGTTCCTGTAAGTACTTCAAAAGAAGAGATGCTGTGCACTTCCTGGCAGTGTGTCCTGCCTTTGAAGTCTTTGAAGTATCCACAGAAGATGCTCCTAACAAAAAGAAACTGGTAGTCTTTAAAAAGTAGACTTTAAATTTGCATATAAAAAAAATCCTCAAAAAAGAGGGAGGGTGCTTTTGAAAGCTGTTGGGGTTTTATTTGTTTGTTTTTTGGTTGCTTCCTCAGAGAGCAACAGAATTCAGGAAAGACAATGTAGCAGAGATTATTATTTACCTGTGGGAATAGTCCATACCATGCTATGAAGAGTTTGGCAACTCTAAAAAGAAACATAAATTTAAGGAAACTATTTCGAGAAATAATATTTTATGCTTATCAATTAAATCTAAATTTGTGGGTCTTCCTATTCATTCCTGTCTTTCAAAGTAATTATCCAAATCTAAAAGAATTCATGCTCATTTTTCTCTTAAGCATTTATAGATGCTAGTCGTAAAAACATACTATCTGTAGCTTATATATATACAAGAAAATTGTAATTATCTCCATCATTTGTACTTACATCTCAACTTTCATAATGTTACAATAATTTACAAGATTAAATCTAGCAATGAGTGTTAAATGTTTTTCTTTCAGAAAACATGGAGTTTGAAATAAACCTTTAAACATAATGGATTTTTGTAGCTTTTGTTGCTGTTGAAGGAGAGATAAATATTGAGCAAGTTAGTTTTAAAATTTCAAAATTAAGACTAATTTTAAAATAAAACAAATCACTGTTTTCTAACAGAAAGGGCTGTTGTAAAGTGTAAGCTGGTTGTAGTAAATACATACATACATAAATATAGTCCATAAATGATTTAAATCAAAATGAAATATGTAAAGACTGTGTAAACCAAATTATAGAAGTGTTTCATTGAACTACAAATTACTTTTCAATATCCATTTAATTAAAAAAAACCTACTTCTTATCATATTCCAGAACAAGAAAGAACGTAAAAAATCAAGAAAAGTGTAATAAACAAAATAGGTATTTCTTTTCTTAAAAAGTATAATTACCTTCTGTGTTTAACAGAGGTAACATTCCTAACAGCAAGTTAGGAATAGTTTTTGCAATACGATCTTTGACTGTCTGCTTCTTATCATTTACTAGGTAAAAATACATCTTATTTGAATGTAGATAGTAAGCAGACATTATGTGCTACTATGGCTGCATGCTATCTGGCATAGTCAGAGGCTTCTTACAGGTCTGTTCTTCTTTGCACAGCCTCATCATATAAAAAGTACAAATTATTTCTTAATTTTCTTTTGGTATTTCAAGTTTAGAGAGACAGTAGTGTTAAATTATAATGGTATCAACAAATGTCTAGTTTGCTGAACTTTGAGGATCAGTGTTTTTTCTTGCCGATGTCAGTTTATGAGGCATGAATGAAATCAGCAATATTAAAAAAAGAAAAAAAAAAAAAAGGAAGCTTTTTAATATTTCATCTGGCTAAGTTGCATCCTTGTATCTTCTAATACAGTTCAGTTATCCTCTTCCTATCTCTTGGTTCTGACCTCCACTAGACAGACCTCCTGTAAGAGCTAATTTTTTGAAGCATCTTTTAAACATGCCACTTTTAGTGAAAAACAGAAGTTTTGGGTGAAATAGGGTAAAGGAGACAAACTGGTGTACTTCTGCTAGAAAGTTTGGAATTCATTATTAATGAACGTAGTTGTTGGATAAGCAAACCTCCAAATTTCCTTTGCTTTTAAGTCCTAACATCTGAAATACAGGACTCCCGCAAACCCCCACACAAAACCAGGAAGCACTGAAATTCTAGACAAGTATCACAAACAGGGTTCTTGCTTACCTTGTTTCTAGCTTAGCTAGAATCAGAAGCAGGGATACAATTTAGCTACACTATTTCAGCTGTTGTATTAGTAATTCTTTCATATTACCACTTCCTCAATACTTAAGTTTTTAATAAAACCATAGTTGTTCGCAACTGGGGAGCCCAGAGAGCACAACTGATTTACTGACCGCTGCAGCCTCAAACACACAGAACTCTGCTGATGAAGCACACATGTAGGGATACTTCTGCTATTATATACTACTTTGCCAATAGAACTTTTTGTGGTTTAAATAATTTTTTAGTTAATTTTTTAAAGCTATATAGTGATTAGACTCGCACACATCTCTAAGTACATGCATATATTTATCTACCGAAAGCCCAACACTTTAGCCTTACCAGTGCTGTCATCATAAACAACAGTGACTGTTTTCCACTTGAAGAACTGCACAAGGTCAAGAATGGCACGGCTGAGTGAAGAAAAATCTGGATAGAGGCTGACATAGAAGGAGTCCTTGTTGTCAGACACTTGATGTTTCCAGCGAGTCTGGATATGTGGAACGCCCAGCGCGTTGCAGATGGACTGCACCGCATTAGCTGAGGAGCTGTGTGATGGTCCAAAGATGGCAGCCACCCCAAGGGACAGCTGATCACAGGCTGAAGAGGAGACAGAAGTCTGTCAATGATGAGAGGAACGAAGGCAGTGTGCCAAAAGGTATTGCTCAATTCACATTAATTAAAAGGTACTCCAAGAAGTACAGCTTCATTCTGTTCAAGTTTAACACTTTCATTTACACAGATTTCAATTTCAAATTAAATTTCTCAGCTTTTGCTATAAGCTGATGAGTAGCAGTCCTTAACAACTAAATAATGCTGCAGCTAAGATCTCCACTGTCAGTTGAATTCAAAGGCCAGCACTATCTATAGATACATAGGATATGCATGTATCCTTATGCATGTTTTAAAAAACACTGACAAGATGCAAGATTTATGCTTAGCTGTGTCTTACATTTAGAGAAAGGCCATATGGGACAGTATCTCAAGCTAAATTTTTTAAGCATTACCTTCTTCCCCAATCCAGCATCTCTATTAAAAACTACCAACTATCAACTATCTCTATTGAAAACATAATTGCTCAGAAATTCTGCATGTTAAGTAGATTTAATTCCAGTCAAGTATCCATCAGATGATAAATTTCATTTAAAAATGAACATTTGAATTTCTATATCTGAAGAGCAATGCGATGACTAAGAGAATGTAGAGGGCAAGATTTTGCCTAAAAGAAAATGAAATCGCTATCTAAAAATGAACAAACTCAGTGTGAACTGTTAAACACTGGAAATACTCTGTTTTGTTGCACCTATACTAATATATAAAACTGGCCCTGAGAGTCACTGACATGATGCTGCTTCATCCAAGTGGCTAAGCTCTTCTCTTTCCTGTACAGAGTGCTAAAACTAAGCTTTAGTCTGTATCATTTCTCACAGTATGCTTGGGTGCTGCCTGGGAGAATTTTTATTGGCAGATACCAAAAATAGGAAAATTAGACAGCAAAGATGATAGCAGGCCAGGGTTTCAGCCCATTGGCTCCTCCTGCTTAGATTACTACTATAAACAGTAGGCTTTGAAAATATGCAGTTCTGAAACACAACAGGTTTCTTTCAAGATAATATATAACTTGGTAAAGAGACATTAAAGAAGGTATCTGCATACCTGCATTTGATTAACTAATATTGTTATAACACCATCTATATACCTCACTGCTGAGGAGGTAAGCAGCATAAACGTATCTTGCTGCATTACTTTTCTCAGCATGTCAAGAATAATTATTTTATTATTCATATCAATGATTTTACAACATGCTATGCCTTTCAAGCACATTATAGAAACTACACTGGCACATCCTTTTTTTCTGTGCATAACTCAAGGGATTTAAATTAACTTCTTAACCCTGCAGAGGATTCCTGCTGCATTATTGTATGTCCAATATCAGGACCTAAGTGACTAGTTTGATGAAAAAAAAAAGAAAAAAAAACTAATATTGCCCTTCTTAACAGTAATCAACACACTTTATGCAAATGTCAGTAAATGGGATCACTAACAACAGCAATAGCTACCAGATGGCTTTTCAATGGGCTTTCTTTTCCATTTCCGAGATTTGAATAATGCAATGCTTTCACATGTGATTTAATATGGCACTGCTGTATAAGAAGCAATCCAGTTTTTCTAATACATTGAAGGATATTTTGTTTGCATTTACGTTATTCTTCACTGAAACAGTGACATGGGAATATTATTGCTTTGCCTTCAGGTTGCTTTTTGGAACTGTGCCTTTGAAAACTCATTAATAAATGAGGTTACCCATTCCATCTGTATTCAACTTCAAGGGTATGTGTTACTAAGAGGTCTAATCAGACTATTTCTTATGCAGTGCCTGCCTGCTCACTGATGGACATAATCACAAGCAACAAATGAGTCAAATGCTTAAACCTCATTGTTAAAATCCTGATTTGGAGCCATCATAATAAAATGAGCCATTTTATGCTAAACTTTAGCCTTTGATTCCTAACTAAAGCACCTATCAGCATAAATAGAGTTGACAATATAGTGAATTAATGAAGCAGAAACCTATTAGCACTAGACTATTACACAGATTTTGATATAACCCAGTTAGTCACAACTAAGACCGCATTCTCATCCCAGGATGCAAATGAGAATAGTAAATATAATCAATCTATTGTTATTCATATGTTATCATACTAACTTCTGCTATTCCATTCTGTAAGGGATTAGCAATATAACAATACTAGGGCTAGCTTCCATCTTCAGGCAAACCTGAAGGCTGCCTGAGTTGTCTTAGGAAAAGCTTGAAGAATTAGAGGTTACAGAACAAATTCCTCCGTTCCCTATTTATTTCTTTGGGAATAGAAATAAATAGCCTTCCATTGCAGTGCCTTGCAAAGATGAGCTGCTACCCGCTGTCCCATTAAATTTCATAGAAGATGCTGAGCATAAAAATAAGTTGAATTTGGAAGACTGGGAGGAAAAGCGAAAGAAGGGATCATAATAATAACTCAGAAATACTATGTTAAAATGAATCTTTGCCTCTCTCTCCTCTTTTTCCCACACTCTCCTCTACAAAGAAATCATTGTTATTCATAAAAACTTATTCATAAAAATCTAGTCTATTACATTTTTCATAAATCAAAGCATCTTACCATGATAAAAATGAATATACTTTTAAAAATAAAATAGATACTAATTTCATGCCTAACATCAATATACTTGTTTAAAAATGATTTCTTCAGAAAACATACATGTAGAGAGTTTAGCAACATTTGTTTCAATATGAAGGGTTAAAGGAAAAAAAAGCTTCTCTTCTTCTAACTGAAGTTTTAGTCAGTATTATGCAATACTTTTATGAAGTACTTCATGTGCTCCTGACATGTATCCTTACTCAGGAGCTTTTCCTTAGCTGACATTATAATTTCACATCAAATATTTTCTTCAGCTTAGCCCACTGCAGAACCAAAAATTGTATGCGGTATACTGCTTTCGGTTTTGAAAGCCTAGGATTAATTTGTTAGGACCAGACCACACAGCAAAACTTATACATTTAAACTCTTACTCCTGTAACAGACTCTAAAACATTCATTTCTACTCCTATAATAAGATACTTGCTATTTAGGAAACACTTAACCCATCGATAGTTACTATATGGAAAAGTGAGTCACTGAGACACTACAGGCAGAGACTACACCCCAAGAAAAACACATTACCACTTACACCAGTACACATGCGATGGCAGGTTCTGCTACATCAGTAACAATTCTAAAATGAGAAAGTCTGAACTGGTCCCTATTGACATACAGTCATGGCCACACCATGAGATACTCAGTGCTGTGAGCCAAATTCACAGCCTATTACAAGGTTTCTAGAAGTTGGAGGAACCTAGTGCTTTCATGAGTCCAAAGGAGTCTCTGAAATACTCTAGTCACAATGCTGATAAAAAAATGATTTCAGATTTGTAAATGTTTAAAAAAAGAAAGAATTTTGAACAAGGGCAGTAGAAGCCAAGCTAACATAATGTAATCTTCATATAGTTACCATTAAAGCCTTCGAAGGATAGTCTTTAAAACACAATTTTAATGTCCACCATAAGAGCCATAACCTTAATTATTTCATGTGGCTCTTTGGACAGACATTTATTCAGGTAGGTGGACAATGCAAATCTTAGCCAGTCATATAAACTTTAAATTTGCGAGAGATTACCTTTCTTGGATGCTTCAAAACTATCATAGAGGTTTATCTTTTGGGTGTCATATGTTAAAGTGGTGTTTGGCAGAAGAGTTCTGTTTCTGTTGATTGTGTTCACAGCAAACCGGAAAGCTAATTCTTCTGCTCCCATTGGACCTGATTCCACACACTCAAAAATGCCTCCTGGTAATGAGGGAGAGAGAGAGAGAGAGAAAAAAACAAAATAAAACAAAACAAAACAAACAAACAAATAAATAAAAAGAGAAAGAAAGAAAGGAGAACAGTAAGCCAAAATGGCATACAAATACATTTCTATTTATCAGTTCAAGATCATCCTGAAATTTTTAGCTAACACTTGACTCAGTGTAACTACTCTCAAACAGCTCATGATTTAGGTGAGATTTGGGTCAAATCCAAACTAACTAACAAACTAACAAACTAACTAACAAAAACTCAGAATAACTTAAAAAACTCACCTTATAGAAAACTTGTAAAGTTTTCCATAAAACATTTTACTGTGGGCCATAAAAAGTGGCTATATAAAACAAACACACTATTTAGAAATAAAATGGGAGAAAGATACGGAATACATAATTATTTAATATTTTTAAATTGGAGATTATCACTAACAGGTCAATCATGACCTGTGGAGGGAGGAGGAGATCATTTTTGGAGTCTGCTCCAAAGTCTACCTTAAGCTTTGTATGAAGCCATAGTGAACTGGAGAGTTCATCAGAAATGCAATACATGAAGCTCCCTTCATGTATTGGTACAGGGTATTGGTACAGGGATGGTACAGGGATTCTCCAAGCAAGCTCATGAAGTGAACAAATGCAGCCTGAACATGTGAGGTAAGAAACATATTAAGTAAAGGGCAAAAAATTGGACTCAGCTACACTGAGACTCATGCACACAGCAACCCCATTTTCAGCAAATACAAAAATCTCAGCAAATACAGTCTGCTTTAAGCTCCACTGCATAACACAACATCCTCCAAACAAAGAGTACGTCCAGAGTAGGAGGTGTCTTAAACAATAGACATATTCTAGAATGGTTCTGAGCCAGCTTTTATCTTATGGGAAGCAAATAGAACATTGTCAAAGAGTGCTGAACAACAGCTAATCTTATTTTATTAGCCAGATATCACTGGTAAATTAGCATGTACCCTAGGTAGTATGATTTATTCTTGCATCTATAAAAGTAGTTTAAAGGTCCTTACTATGGTGACATAGAATATATCAAAAATACAAACCAAAACTCCAGCATCTGTGGGGTATCTATCACCAGCTAATATTGTATAGCCACATGTGTACGACTACCATACCAAGATCATTAATTGCAAGTTCATTAATTATAAACAATGAAAGGGATATTTTCCATTTACTTTGCCTTAGCTCGTGCCTATTCATTTGTAAAGTAATGTTGCTGCCTAGCTTTATATTTTCTAAAAATTTCTTATCCAACACTCCAGTGCTTTCTCAGCAGGAAGTTCTCATAATCTGAATGTTCAGGAACTTGAATCAGGATGAATTGAGCAAATTGCAATCAGTTTATAAACAATCATTTTGAAGAACTGAGTAGATAAACCATTCCTACTGCAACAAGAATAGATATTTACTTAACAACTCTCCTTTTCAAATATTATTAAATGCTAAAAGGCTTTGAGTTTTGCAAGCCTCCTGCCTCTTTCAACCTGTTTATCCCTACTGGATGTAGAATAGGTGTTAACAGTTTTCCTGCAGATGAGCTTTTAATATCCTGGTGAGAGTCCCATGGACAGATGCCTAAACAATATTAATTTAAAAACATGAGCACTAACCACTGAGATGAGAAGTGACAAATATCTACTTAAACATTAGTAAATTAAAACTGAAAATGAGGTTTGGATGGGAGAGGTAGATGCCTGAGAAAAATCTAGACAGGCATGGAAAGGATCAAAAACTGATTGAGCATAGGGGATGTATATAATTAATAACCAAAATTAACAACACTTTAGAAGTTAGAAAAAAATAAGAAATTGGATATGATATAAGTATGAATGCAATATGAATTCATACATACGAACAATATGTAAGGCAATAAAGTACAATATGAAAGGCAATCTCTTTTTGGAAGTAAGAAACTGCTTAATTTAGGAGAACTCGGTTTGATAGACAAGTCTGTGCTCTTTAAGGCTTACCACCTCTAAACACTATAAATCAAACTGTGACATATAAGAGAATTCTACTCTGATTTGGGGATTTTTTTAAATTGCTGTAGAAAACATAAAATTAGTGAATAAATGATAAGTATAGATATCAACTGTCAATAAAATGCAAATGTTTCCTTGAATATGATCAGAATTAAAATAAATTTTATAGGGTTTCCTAAGACATGTGTGAAATATTCAAATATTTACAGATAAACAGATATTACAGAAACAACTTTTAGAAAGAGGAGATTATATTCTCAGAGAGAATGGATTCATCAAAAGAAATGAGCAATACTATCTTTCTCCTGCCTTAAATTTTTACATTGAAAGGTTTTCTCCTTTAATTTCTATTTATCTCAAAATCTTCTTTATTTCTATATTTTTCCTTCTGTCCATCTCTAAACATATAAGATGGGATATTATCTGTCAAAAATGCAGCTATTGATTTTCATATTGATATTGATATTTTCAGGGTAGTTCCTAATAGTAGAGACTGTCCATCACAAAATCAGACAATTTTATGAAGATGTCAAAGTCCCTATCATCTAATGTGAGTCGCAACAGAATACTATCTTCCCATGTGCTCCATTTAGGGATTTCTTCCCCTGTTTATTCTATCATCCCCATGATAAATGTATTCCTTGCAAGCCTGGCACCATATGATCACTCTGCATAAGGGTAAATTTCCATTCCAGAGGCAAAAAAAACAACTAGAAAAACCTGTTTGTGATGTCCTACTATTAGATGTGAGCAAGATTTAGCCTCTTGTTCCTGCTCCTGAATATTTTCACATTTTATGCTAGATAATAATACCACAGGAATAAATGACTGACGAGAAATACACTGTTTTCTAGCAGACTTTTAATATGTAAGATGCTGAGACAAACTTCCACTAGGCTTCTAAGAACACTAGCAGAATATAGGCTAGATGGAAAAATTTGGTATTTTCTAGTAATATTCCAGCCTGTAAAATGCTGAGGACAATGTTCCTTTCATTCTAGTTTTATGCTACTTCAGTATCTTTCTACCAAAACATAGGGAAGGAACATCCCACAGTTAAATACTTGGAATGTTTAACATTCACACAAAGAACTCTAATTAATTGGTTCCCAAAATACAACATATCCTGCATATCCTGCATGCTTTCAGATAAGCAGGCAGAAGAGTCATAAATCTTGCCATTCACATATGGACAAGCAGTCAAGTCAATACCTGTCCTTCTATAACGGACTGAAAAACACAGGTATTGGGACTTGTCTTTAACCCAACATATGGATTGAAATCAGCAACAGCGCATCCTAGAAAAAGTGGCTGAATGTTCGCTGCTACCTCAAAACAGAGACAAAACACTTTAAAGGGTCAGGAAAAAACCTACTTAATACTGAACTTGCTTTAATGATCTCATACAGTAATAGTTTATCAGAACAGGTAATTTATCTAGAGGCTACTCCTCCTAATGTAGATAAAATGGCCTTATTACATTTCAATTGAGATAAAAATCTGAAATGGTTAAAAAGTTATACAGGAAAGAACTACAAGGTTTTTTTTTTTTTTTTTTTTTTTTTTTTTTTTTTTTTTTTTTTTCCTGCAAATATATATAAAAAAAAAAAACAGCCTTTTCTACCAAAAAAGTTGAGCAAGATTTGACATTTTTAGTCAAGAAAGATAACTCAAATTTGTATCCAATTTTCAAATCAGTTTTCTTGAACAGGAAACTAGGGAAAGAATAAGTTCGGTACACATCAGGTAAAACATTGCAGAACAACAGAAAACTCTCTCTAACTCTCATCATCTACCTAAGTTGAAACAATTGGGTAATTACTATTTAAGAATTAATCAAATTCGTATTTCCATTTAGAAAAATAGCATAAATTTGAGGGGTTTTCCCATGTTTTATTTTATTTTCTATTATATTTTCCATTTTATTTTCCTCCTATTCTGTTCTGTGGGCCATCATGTCAGTGGTTCTCTCTGTGTATGTATCTGGAGAAAAAGAAAAAAAGACAGAAAGAACGTAAGTGCTTAGCTACACAAAATCTCTTGATGAGTATAAGGACCATAACAGGTTATTCATAAATCTCTTCTCCACTTCCAGATGGAGAACTTTGGAACAGATGAGTCTCGTAAAACATGAGAGCTTCTCCTACAAACTTGAAATCATCAACATTCAAGCAATCTTCAGAAGCATCTGAATACAACTATGAACGAGATCTATAACACACAGAGGATATTAAATCAATTAATTTTTTCTTTATTTCTAGCAGAGTTCCCAAGTTTGTTTCAGTGGAAATGAACACTATTTAATAACAGTAGCTACAGGCTATTTTACAATCTGTGCTCTTGGAAAAATTAAACCTTTCAATACACAACAGAAGGCTGCATTACCTCAAGTCTTACTCTGAGGAATCAAATGAAATGAACCTTACATACTACTTTGAATTACTGAGTCTAAAATAAAGTATTTTGCAATATAATTGCCACTATATTAACCACATATACAGCAGCAAAACTTCCATGGTTTAACAGCACAAGTATTTACCAGACTGTAATTTTCAAATATGATATCAGGAGAGGAAAAAAAAATAAACACTAATTCACTCTAATATAACATTGTTGACATTAATGAAGTTATGGAAATAGCATTAATCATAATTTCAGCTTGAACCATGATTTCTCTGCAGGAAGATATAAAATGATTTATAGTATAAATGTTTCTAATTAAATTGTGCTTTCTTTTCTAATATCAAAACAAATTGATAAAGATCTCACTATACACAGACTAATCATTTTTAAAAACCTTAATTTTAAAAATCTTTATAGCCATGCTAATTGTTCTGCCCATATTTATCTACAGCTGTGAAGATAAAGGTTTTCACAAACACTTTCAAAATCAGTCACAGAATGGCATGAACACCATTTTTTGTAAAAGAATAATGTTTAAAATACAATGATGCAAACCTGTACCTTAAGTTCAGATTGAGTGA